GATTTAGGTAAAAACAAGGATATATTTCTTTGAATTATAATTTTCTTGCTGTTTTTCTTGTGTCTTAGTAATCGTATAATGAAAGCAAAAAATCGTCAAGAACGTTATAAAAAAGGTTATATTTTACTTGAAGGAAAACGTCTCATAGCTGATGCAATACAGGCCGGTGCTGATCTTTTAACAATATTTGTTACTGATCGACAAATTTTAGATGTAAATATCAAGTTGTTAAAGTTTAAACTATTTGAACTTTAAAGCAATGCACTTCTATCTGGTGCAAATAGACTAATATTTTTTAAATAAGAATAAGATGTTTTCATAAACTTCAATAAAGATGATTAGAGTCTTGTGTTCAAGAACAATCCTTTATTCGTTATAGATTAGTTGATCACTTTCAATATTCTTCTAATGATGTTATCATTCTCAAAAATTCGTTTAACTTTAATGAAAATCTTCTGATTGACCTCCTAAGTTTTCGTGCAGCTAAAATTCATTTTTATCAATGAAATTGACAGATACAAACTCTAGTTTAGTTTGAGATTGAATCAAGACATTCATTTTATTCTGAGAACAATGTAAAAATAATATGTAGTTTTTAGTCTTAAATTGAGTTAGGTCAACAAATTTTCCTGAAAAATAGGAACTTTTCATCTCATGTAGCCAGATCATTTAATTATAGGAAATGAAGTATTAATAAATATAAATTCTTTTTTTGTTTCGGGTTTAGCAAATTGATTTTTCACCAACAGATCTCAATTTTAATGTTTATCAAATTTCATCAAGTGCATTTCGTACTTGGTCAGATGTACAAACAAGTCAAGGTGTTATGGGTATGCAAAAAACATTCAGAGAAACAATAAATTTAACTAATAAATTAAATTTTTAGCAATATTTGCAATGCCTCAACCAGATCATTGTCCATTTAAAGAACGTATAACTCTTCCAATAACTGTTATTTGTGATAATGTACGTGATCCAGGAAATATGGGAACAATAATTCGAACATGTGCTGCTGTTGGTTGTGATCGTTTAATTGCAATAAAAGCTTGTGTAGATATTTGGGATCCAAAAGTAATTCGTTCTGGTATGGGTTCACATTTTCGTTTACCTATGATAAATGATGTTGGATGGGAAACAATTATTAATCATATACCGGAAAATAGTAAAATTTATCTTGCTGATCATAAATATTCATATGAAGAAAAAGATACAACTAATGATGATGGTCATGATGCTAATAATCGTAAGACCTTAAAATGATTAACTAACGTCGTTTTCAAAAAGAAATGAAACTGATTGTTTATTTGAATAATTTTCGATAGAAACAACAAAGAGACTTGAGATAGCGTCAGAATATCTATTTTTAAAATCTTCGTAGATAACTGAGTTGGTTTGTCAGTTGTTGGCCAATCAGATTTTAGCATACGTGGATGGCCTAGGATCTTCTATATTGAATAGTGAAAACCGCAGGTCTCTATATTGTTCCTATGAAAATTTATTCAAAAAACCGTCAGACTCATTACTTTGTGAAAGCAAGAATAGTTATATATATTTTTTAAATATATTTAGCATCAAAAAAAATGTTTGAAGAAATGCTTGAAAAACGAAAACAGATGAAACGTACAAATACAACAGAAGATCGTTCATATTTGTTATCAAATAATCGTTTTTTACCATTATATAAAAATATTCCTATTGATTATCAATCATTATGGAAAGCATTTTTAAATATAAAATCAAGTGATCATTCAACAATTATTGTTGGTGGTGAAACAGAAGGTATAAGTCTTCAAGCAAGAAAACTAACAATTGAACACAATGGTAAAATGGTATATATACCATTATTAAATGATGTTGAAAGTTTAAATGTCAGTATTGCATTAAGTGTTATTTTAATTGAATTACGAAAATCTTATGAAGATATTGTTCAAAAATCATATTCAATTACAGAAAAAGATGATCATTAATGTTTTGTTATTTTGTTTTTTTCAGATAAAGTTGTTAGTTTCTTTTTTTTGTCTGTAATTGAAAAAGAATAAACAAAATTATGGGTGAAACATTAACAGATGAAGAAAAGGCAACTATTGCTCGACGTTTCATTGCCCATGCACCACCTGGTGAATTTAATGAAGTTTTTAATGGTTAGAAAATTATTAAATGAATTAATTTTAAGAAAAAACAATTTGTTTTGTCGTTATAGATGTTCGAACATTATTGAATGATGATGGATTAGTCCGGCGTTCAGTTTCTAAGTAAGGCATTTAAAGAAATTCGTTTCTGTTTATGTCAATATAATTTAGTTAAAAAATTATTATTTGTATAAAAATATAATGATTGTGTCTAAAGTACAATAATATGAACGATGAGAAAACAAACAGAGTCTCGAAGTTTGTTCAAATAAAATTAGAGCAAAGAATATGATTTCATATTTTATTTATAGTGAATGATGAAAAATGAGTACAGTAGATTGAAGCGAAGTAAAACATAATTTAAAAATTTTCATAAGAAATTCTTTTGCTTATTATAATTATGTTATTAATGATTATCATAGGCTATAAATCATAACGAATGGTTTTTAAAATATTCAAAAAATTTTATACAACTTGGGAAGTTAATTTAAAAAAAAACTATAATTTCATTTCTTGTACTTCGGCCTACAATAAAGATTTCGATATTTTCAATACATTTAATAAAGAAAGGATTTCAAGCTTGGTTATGATAGACGTATACACAATGAATAGTCAGACAGAGTCCGAAATCGGTACATGCTTACTTCTGATTGTAGTTCTAAAGCTAATAGATCCTTTTTTTTAGCATCATTCTATAAAACAATTTAACCAATAAGTATTTTTGTCGCATTTCTAGAATCTCAGATTTCCCTTTCAATAACGTTATTATGCAAGTACAATAATAATATCTTTCAAGTTTTTGTTCAAATCCAGTTAATATATAAGCATCATTATTATATGAATAAGGCCTGTCACAACAGGTACAAACTATGCCTTTTATTCAGTTAACATTGTTGGCTATTTTTATTTTTTTTTTAAACTTTTGTTCAAACTATTCATAGTCATAATAATGATTTCCAAATAAATAATTTTGTATTTTAGAGCTTTTGCTGAATATAATCGAGATCAATATATTCCAACTAAAGTTCAAGGTGCAGAAGAGGAATGTCTTATAACTGATGCAAATGATTTAGGTGATGGTCGATTCTATGATCCTCGTACACGACAAAGTTTTAAGTATGTATTTATTTGATTAATCAAGTATATTTTTTTTCTATATATTAATAACAACCATATTAAGATTTGATCATTTACGTCGTGAAGCATCCGAACATCAACCACATTCACCTGATGAACATTCTGAACCATGGCGTTTAGCATTTGAGAAAGAGCTTACAGATTATATTAAAGAACGTTATCCATATGGTGCTTGTACAGTTATAGGTGGAAGTGATGTGGATACAATTACATTAGCGGCTTTTATTGAAAGTCATAAATTTGAACCGAAAAATTTTTGGTATTAATAATCAAAGTTATTTCAATTATAGATTAAGTTTTTGCTTTATTTCTAGGAATGGACGATGGCGTTCGAAATGGTCATTAGCTTTCGTCAAAGGACAAACCGAATGTGAATTAACTGGCTTGGTTAAAGCTCAAGTAAAAATTAAAAAAAAATATTTAAGATTTTGCCTTAAAATTGATTTTGAGTCGGGAATATTCAAGCTACAAAAAATTTTCATGATATATTAAGATTATGATGAAATATTTAGCTCGCTACCATGATGTTGTCTTGAGAGATAGTCATCCAACAAGGCTCGAGAATAGGTAATTTGCCAATTCAAAATTCTGTGAGTCTAAGTTGTTTTCTTTTGTTTAGAAGATGATGTCAAATAGAGTATGTTCGGTGAAGTTCGGATCTGAATATTATAGATCTGATGGACCTTAGTAGTCTGAGAGATGTATAGAGTGCACTAGTCATGGAATACAGAAAAAAAAGCATCTCGTATCTTCCGGAGGACTATTTAATTCTGATAAGAAAATTTCATTGTGAGTATCAACTTACGGTCCGATCTCTTGGCATGCTCGTTCAAACAAAAGAAAAATTAAATATCTAGTATGAAGACCTACATAAAATTTTCGGATTATTTTTAACTCTGGTCCAATGAATATCTTACAAGAACATCATAGTATCAAGCTAAAAATTCCACCACAAGCTATCCTGAAAGTCCCACACGATTTCAACATCGCCAGTCCAAAATCATTTTTTAGAGAGCTTTAATTCATCTTCACCATTTTCAATTTAGGTGCATTATTTTGAAGATGGCAATGTACAACTAGTCAGTAGTAAAGATATAACAGAAACAATACAAATTCAAGTAACATTCATATCTTTAAAAAGAAATATAAATTTGACAGAAGAAAAAAACAAACTTTTTTTTATAGGATGAAACAACGACTGCAAAAGAAATCATTCGAATTATTCGTCAAGCTGAAGATAATTATCAAGTAAATAAAAATTTTAAAAAAATAACGAATTACTAATGTTTTTTCTTTGTTATTTAGCAAGCTGTTAATGAAAATTATCAAGTTATGTCCGATTCAACATTTAAAGCCTTACGTCGTCAATTACCAATAACAAAAGCTAAAATTGATTGGACAAAAATTACAGCTTATAAAATTGGTTCTGAACTTAAAAATGCTTAAACAAATAAATTAATTTAATATATATGGAAACATTCCACCATGGTGACAGTTCGTCTTTTTCTTTCCTGCTTTATTTGTTCATTTATAAAAAGCAAAAAAACGTTTTTTTTTTTCTTCGGTTCATTATACCAATGTCTTCGTTCTCTCTTTTTTTAATTTACACATCATTCTATTTGTCTCTTTTATGATTGAAATGAAAAAAAAAAAGAAATATCTTATATGATAGAAATGGCGATTTTTGTTTTTCGTGGTTATTTCAGATTTTTTTTTTTATCTTTAAAATTAAAAATGATGAATGGAGAACCTAATGATGGACAAGTATCGGATACATATATAGATAATATTATAAAACAACTTGAAATATCTGATGGATCACAAGCAACATCATGTGTTCGGTATATTTTGTATAGAAGATAATTAGAGAAGAATATTATGGTTTGTTTTTTTTTGTTAGTTCGGTTTTTGTTCGAAATGATGCTGGAACATTTTTAAGAAAACTTGATGAACGTATTAAATATTATGATAATGAAATAGAAAAATTATGTAATTTTCAATATCAAAGTTTTGTTAAATCATTTCATGAATTATTACAAGTACGAAAAGATACAACAAGTATGAAGGTAACCAATTATTTTATTTTAATTATTAATCAGTAGAGAAGAAAAAAAATACGTATGTTTTTATTTTCATAGAATGAACTTCTTAAAAATAATCAAATGATGCAAGAAGCTGGACAAAGTTTAGCAAAAAAAACTGAAGCTTTAATTAAAGAATATCATCGTCAAACTAATATACAACAAACTATTGAAGCTTTATCACAAGCATTTCCAGGTATGGTTAGAACATTTTTTTTTGAACATTAATTAAAAATATTTCTTTTTTGTAAATTTTTAGTTTTTGAAACATATCGAAAATTACAAGAATGTATGGAAGAAAAAAAGTACGAATTTTCTTTTTATTTTTCTTTACTTGTAAAGTTTTATTAATATTTTATAATAGACTTTATCCAGCATTGAAATTACTTGAACAATTAGAAACTAAACATCTTGTTCTTGTAAAAGAACATCGTTGGTCAGAACTTATTCAACATAATATTGCAAAATTTCGTAATCAAATTCGTAATGAATCACATAATGAATTGAAAAATTTTCTTGAAAATGTTGCAACACACGCAGATAAAATTGGAAAAAGTGCTTTTGCACAAGTATGTTCAATATTTATATTTCAATAATCAGAATAAGTTATTTTTAATAGAAGAAAACCTTTTTTTGCTAGAAGAGTCAAATTACTTGGAGTATCACTCTTGGACTTTTTCTCGACTTGGAGAAAACTATTTTGAAATTTTGTTCGTATTAAATGTAAAAAAAAAAAATTCCATATTGTATTTGGATTAAGTCAGTTACTTTTTAATCATAACATGATTTGCTACAAACCATAGAAAAGTTAACTACAATTTTTAGTTTCAATACACATAACTTTTTTCCACATAGCTCTCAAGACTTGGACTAAAATTGATCTCACATCTTCTTTTTTCGAACTGAAATACTCTTAGATTATTACTATGCATATGAAAATATAATTTTTAAAATCGTATTCTAACAGAGTTTTTCGAGTAAAGTATCAAATGAATAGAAATATGCTGGATAATCTTCTTTTTGTACTCTGTACTCTGTCTGAGAAAAACTTTCCAACTCTTAGTCTACCCTAAATATATCTACGAATGAATTATAAAATATATAATTAAGGAAATGTGTAGGTATTATCTATACTTCTTGAATAAATTTTGTGATAATAAAGATTTCATTCTATTAACTTCTTTTCGTTTTCTGTTTGAAATGAGATACTATAATTAAACGAAATTAATTTTTCTCTTAATATATTTCTAGTTGATTTATTATTGTTTATTTCAAAGTCTAACGAAAATATATTTCATTTAGGCAGCTGCTCGTCTTGATATAGATCGACGTTATTATATATTAGAAGAAGATCGAAGAAGAGATCAGCAACAACAACAACAACAACAGCAACAACAACCACAACAACAACAGCAACAACAAACAGATGGATCAGCTGATTTAGCTTTAATAAATATGAATATAACTGAAACAATAGATTTTTCTCCCATATATAAAAGTCTTCATATAAATGTATTTCTTAATTGTAAAGAAGAATTTTCAAAACATTATCAACGTGAAAAACAAAAACAAGCACCTGTTATTATGGATGTACCACCTAAAATGCATGAATCATTTGATGCATTTAAAAAATATTTACAACGTGTAACAGGTTTTTTTATTGTTGAAGATCATGTTATGAATACAACGGAAGGTTTAATTGATCAAAGGTTTTATTATGAATTAAGTGAACGTGCAACACAACAATTATTAGCTGTACTTAGACGAGCAGTGGTTAGTTTTTTTTTCTTCTTCAAATATTTTATTGTTTTTATCATCGATATACATCAACAGGATTTTTGTTTACAACCGATATCTACCGACGGGGTAATTTAACGGTAGAAAAAAAAACAAATCTGAAATTTAGCTGCTCAATTGTTTGTTTTTTCATATGGAGGAAAAAAACATACTATTTAAAATGTTTTGAATTTTTCTTTTTAGTCAACATCATATAATCCAGAATTAATGCTTGATATGAAAATTGTTGTCGTACTTTTTTGTGCTGCTATCAAAGAATCTGGTTTTCCAGTAACACCTTTATTAGATGTTTTAATGGAATTAAGGTTTGTATGAAAGCATCCCGCCGATCTACCTTGAACCACGATGTTATATATGTGATTTTTGTAGAGTGATTTGTAGTGCATCGAATGGTGTATAAGATATCATGTTTAATGAGAATATTGATGTGTTAAGTGTTTATATATTGGTTACAATCCTTCGAGAATATAGTTATACAGTTATAGATGCTCTTCAATTTTCTATAATCAATAGTTTTCCCGTTGCTTTCTTCAAAGTTACAGAATGTTTTTTTTTTCTTTTCCGAGTATTCACAAGTTCGATTTATGCATTAAAATCTAAAAGAATCTTTAAGTATTTTATATTCATTTCAAAAAAGAATTTTTCATAATATCTGTACTGCTCTTCAAAGATCTGAATATCAAAAAATAAATTCCTGTGCATTCACACAGGAGTTATTTATATCAATTCAGCAGAAATGTTATGCTGATTATTGATGCACAAAAGTTTTAACTAGAACTGTTAAGTATTATTAAAATAGCAGCAATATACGGACTTCTTCATTAAGGAAAATAGGCTAGTCTACAGGACAATCTTGCAAGATGATAATGAACCTATGAGGTTCCGAAAGACCTTGTCTGTGGAATTGGAATAACATAGAGTCAAAAAATAACCTAACCCTAGTAAAAGAAACCATTTTTTAAGTACGAGAAAAGTAACGAAGAAAACTATTGATTATAGAAAATTGAAGAACATCTAGAACTGTATGGAATTGAATTCAACAACAAAATTTGCATTAGTTTATCTTAGAATATGTCACGAACCAGAATGTCTATGAGTGCCATATAATTGTATTCTTCAAGGATTATAATCAGTAACACGTTGAAATTTTCATAAAACTTGATTACGTATATGTGATTCGATACACTGCAAATTGTTTTACAAAATCACATATATGGTATCATGATTTAAGATAGGTCATTAAATACAGCGGGACTGTCTTGGATAAATGGTTTTCTATTTGATTTTTGTTTTTGTAGAGAAAGTTATCAACAATTATTATTAACACAATGGAGTCAAAAATTCAAAGAAATCTTGAAAAAAGATAATTATATACAAATGGTTATTGAAGATGAAACACAATATCAACTACTTTTAAGACAGTTTCCATTGAGAATTGAAGCAACTGAAAAGGTTTCTATTATAATAGAAGATTTGTTTTTCTGTTTAATGAAAACAATTTGTTTTTATTTTTTAGTTACCATTCCCACGTTCATTACCATACAGTGAATCAGTACCAAAAATATTTTTAGAAATAAAAGATTTTGCAGCAGTATGTGCAAAATTTGCTAAAGGTCTTAATGTTAGGTAAATAATATAATAAAAATTTATATTTCAAGAAAATCTGTTTTCTATTTTGTATTTGTCAGTAAAACTGAAATTGATGATATGATTCGAAAACCATCAAATTTATTATTAACAAAAACTCTTAAAAGTGCATTAGTAGATTTAACAGCTGCTGAATCAGAACCACAACTTAATTTTTCACAAGTAAATTCATAACAATTTAAAAAAGAATGTATTGATTTTAATTAATTATTTCTTTTAGCTTGTTCAAATTTGTATTAATACAATACATTTAGAAAACTCAATGCCTTATTTAGAAGATTATATTGTTGCTCTAGTACAGTAAGTAATGAATTTTGATCGGATTTATTTTTCGTCATTCTTAAAGCTCTTGATTCTTATGTCACTTTATCGAGGACAAACTTTCCTTTAAACTGATGCATAACTTTTGCAGGCTTCTTTAAAGGACTGAAAAATAAATGAACTACTTTTTAATAACTCATTAGTCAACCATAAGTAAAAAAAGAATTCGATTTTGATAATTCATTGCATTTAGCCCCTTCTATCCTTAAATCTACTGATGTAAAGTATTGTCTGAAAAACAAACTAAATCTGAATCAAATTTAGAATTCAATGCTTTAAAATATAATCATTATTATTTATTTTTTTAGTGGTAGTACAAAACAAATTGGACTTCGACTACAAGGTGCATCAATGCTTAAAGTAATTGTCGATAGAGAATTTCCAAATCTAAATAGATTTTAAATATTTTTCTTTTTCTCTATAGGATATTCGTAGTTTAGTAGAAGATCGTATTCATGATAAATTAAATGATAAAATTGATCAATGTTTAGATATTGGTAATTAAAAATACTCATTCATTTATCTTGTTCTGTGTTTTTATTAATTAAAATTAATTTTAGCTTCATATGATTGGATGATGCAAGAACCATCTGGTGTTGCTAGTGATTATATCACAACAACAATTCAATTTCTTGAAAATACATTTCGTGCATTTACACATTTACCTGTAAGTTTTCTTTTTATTACAAAACAAAATTTTTGAAGAGTATATATTTATTTATTTTGTTATTCGTGATCAATAAAATATTTCATTTTCTGTTTTGTGTTTGTTTTCTAGAGACGAGTAAGTTAGATTGATTAACATTCACCTATAGATGACTATTTGCAAAAGAAATAATAAGAATCTAATTGCTAGAAATCTAGATGGAATATATGAAAGATAATTCTTTTTTGTTGCTAATTGCTATAATTAAATACTAAGAATTGTTTTAATTTTTCTCAATGTTTTCTTTTTTATTTTAATATTTTTATAGACACAATTATCTCAAACAACATGTTTATCAGCATGCAAACATATATCAACATCATTGACAGAGAAAATTCTTAGTTCGGATGTTAAAGCAATATCATTTGGTGCACTTGAACAAATGAGTCTTGATTTAATGCAATGTGAAGGTTCGATTTTCTATAATTAAATTTTTTTCTCTTTTAGTCTTATGAAAGAATATTTCCCGTTGTCGAATACTATTCGACCTGACTACGAATTGTTATTTGTTAGACTAAGAAAGTCCTGCATCGGAATGTAGAATCTTTTGTGAAATAGACTTAATTATCATTTAAAGGTTTTTAAAGAAAATGAACGTGTTGTACTTGGAATTGTTCAATTTAATGTCCCGCATCCAGGTATTCAGCATACTAAATAGTATACTTTATCATATAAAATAAAAGTTGAAAAATCGTACTGTGACTGTTAAAGTATTTGTCAAATATCGATTAGCTTCGATTCGAATCCGCTTGCGAAGAATCATATCTGTACAGAGTAGCAATTTGATTTTCAAGTAGCCTAGACTATTAAATCCTTTTATAGTAAGCTAGTGCTTGTTGATAATTAAATATTTTGCGTACAACCTATTCGTTCTCTTCGAAACTTTCCAATTATAGATAAAATTACACGAGAAAGTTTTGCATTTTGATATATTCCGATATGTCTTGTATTTATTAATAAAATTTACTAAAACAATTATAGGCTCAAAATCTTGCAGGCTTTTCTTAGTATTACAAATTGTCTACTCGTAGCCAAGTCAAACGATATCTAACAGCTGAAGATGTTCTCTTGGTATTAAAAAAAAAGAATTCCTTTTTTGTTTAGTATTTGCATCAAAAGTTAATATTCCAAATTTGGATGGTGAAACATTATTATTATGTTTTCAAGATTTACGTCAAGTAAAAAGAAAAATAATAAAGTTAAATAAATTATTTATTTAATATATTTTAGTTACTTGATCTTATTATGGATAAACAATGGTCAGTTTATTTTGAACAATTTGGTAATCCTAATTCACCATTTGGACGTGTTAATCCACATACAGCTTTAACTGTTATAGAAAAGTATGTTAATTAAAAAAAAACATAAAATAATTAAAATGACTTTTTTCTTGATTTATTTAGATTACGCGAAGGATTAAAACGACCATTATTACTTAAATTTAATCGACCAGCTTTAGAAAAAGAAAATATTAAATTATTAGAAACAATTTCAAAAGATTTACGCAGTTTAATTAATGATATATCATAAATAAAATTTTTTGATTCAAACAAAATTTCTTTCTTTTTTTTTTTGGTGCAATTCCTTTGTGAATTGTTATATTTCTATTTTCTTTTCATTTTCTTCTTCCTTTCATTATATTCCATGTATAGTTGTGTTTGAAAATGTTATTTAACTAGTTATTTGATTATATACATATATATATATATTATTTTTTAAATGCGTATGTTTTTTGTATGAAATTAGAAAAAAAAAATATCCTAGAAATTGAAATTTCTTATTCAAATTTGTAATATTTAATCATAATTTAAGATATTGATGAAATTGTCTTAAAATAAACTATGCGATACGACTGACGCCTATCAATATAGTCCGACGAATGCGCAGTTTTTGAATCTCGATGTGAACTTCTAAATTTTATGGGATCTATCGGAAAAGGACAACAAATGAGTCCGATAGACTTTATTATGATCTTATAATAATCAGCTACGGATAAAATGTTAATCAAGAATTATGGTTTTATTACTATCTAGAACAAACTTAAGTTTTATTTTGGTATTAAAAAAATGAAAATTGAAAAACTCGACTTAATTTGCTAAAAGAATCGAAGATTGTTTTTTATCGGAGACCAGTAGAGTCTTGTATGGACTCACAACCGATTTTACCCATGGATTGATTTTCGAACACAAAAAAAAACAAGGATTTGTCTTCATTGTTGTCTTTTTTAGATAAAACGAATTTCGTCGTTTTCTTTATATCTATATCCTCTCGTTGGTTTGACTTTAAGTTACTTGTTTTTAAAAAAAAAGGCATAAGAAGAAAATACAACATAGAATGCGTTTCATATTGTTTTTAACTAAAACGATATCATTATTTTAACATATGGAACTCTCATGTGTTTTTAGCCTCATTAGTCGTATACGAAATCCATTAGGTGAAAAATTTCTAACAGTCTACAGTTGTTTTCCAAGGATAATTGATGGCGAAAGAAACAGTCTGCCTGATTTATTTTCACATTTCTAATAACCATCAGCCTAACTTACAAGTAAATCTATTGTACATATCAATTACATATGCAGCAAGTCGCAACACCCTCTAATATATCTTGATAAACTCACAAATATATTGACATGGATTATTTCCTATAGTCATAACTTGATCAGTTTTAATATAAATTTTTATTTGAGCAAAAGTAAAAAGTGATACAATTTGGAATATTTAGAAACGTATTCTAGCCATTCTAATTTTAAGGAAAACTTTGGAATGTTCTAGAACAGTTTAAGTCTTGTTGTTATAACTGATTAGTGGTTTTTTGCGATTGTTAAAAAACTCTGAAAAAAAAGGAGCTTAACGCCTGTTGTCCTATTGAAACGTGCTTAATGATCGTTTACCTTTCTTTTTATGAGTATGATCGAGAAGCCACAAAATCTTGACTTAAAACTTGTAGTCAAGATATTTTTCTCCGAAAAGTATGGCATGAGTTCCACAAACGTAAAATGTTTTTTTTTCTATCTTTGATGCTGAACAACATCTCATGAAGGAACATCTCCAAGTATAAAAATGCTTTTCGATTGACACGTTGTTCATTTGATGAGTACCAGAGAATAGGAAGTTTTAATATCTCAAAGACAAAAAGTCTGGAAAACCATAAACCATTTTAGACTTCTCTATTACTTACTAGTATTGATTCAATTAACAACTGTCTCGGTCGAAAAGCAGTTTGATACCTGGAAAAGTTCTTCTCATCAGCTGTAGATATCAAAGAAACTATTCATTAAATATAAAACATTGTCTAATAAAATCTAGTTCTTACATTATGAATATCATCATTATTTTCATTTAAATAGAGAAGAGAAAAACTTCAACATTGCATACTCTGAAAAAGTTTCATTTATTTTTACTTTTTGTTCAGCATATACAGAAAACAAAAAAACAAAAAGAACACAAAATGATACATGCGTTTATTAAACAGCAAAAAAGAAAAGAGAAAACAATGAAAATATTATCTTGCAAATAGATCACCAGCACTAGGCAATGGTGGTACTTGAATATTATTAACATCTTGTGGTAAATTTTTTCTATGTTTTTCAATTTCTTCACGAATTAAATTTAATTTTGATAATTTATTTTTATAATCTTCCAAAAGTTTTTCTTCATGTTCAATTTGTCGATCTTGTGCTTGAATATAACCTTGTAACATTTTAGCTGCATAACGACGTGAACGTAATTCACTTTCTAAACGTAAATTATATTCTTCAAGTAGACCATGTGCCATTTGAACAAGTTTATATAAATCTGTTGCTTCTTGTTTATCACGAAGGTTTTTTAATAAATTTGAATCACTAACTTCAATAGGTAATGCAGCTATTTTTTCTCGTACCTAAAACAATAAAAACAAAAATTGTTTCTTTTTTTTTTTGTTGTTTTAAAATTAGATATGAATAAAAGAAAATTTACATCAGCATCCGATGATGGAGAATTTTCTAATTCTTGTAACATTTTAACAAGTTCATCAACAGCTGGTACTGGTATAGGATTAATTGCTAAATCACGACGAATTTCTTCACGAAGCGATAATTTTCGTTTAAGTTTTCGTCGTCGTTTGGAATTATTGGTAGATGTCGAGGATGGATCAGTTCGTTTACGTTTACCATGTCCATTTGTTGGATCATCATCATCTTCATCATCAGATTCTTTTTTTTGAATCTAATATATATTCAAAAACAAAACAGAATATATTGGTTAAGTAAGATTAATGTAATTGGATATTCATGATTTCGAAAACCGGATGTCTTTTTCTTTATACGATCTATCGTGATATATCTACATTTAGTAAGTCTAACAAATTCTACACAATTCTATAGAGATCAATTTGGGTCTGATATTGTATATGTGTTTTCCTGAGAGAGTTTATATTGTATAATACTCTCATATTGCTACATGCATGTGAATGATTAAGTGCAATATAGACTTTTCTTTTCTTCGATACTATTCATTTGTCAAGTATGAATTGGGAGTACAGAGCAAACAAATATCTCTTCCGAGAGAAATTTTCCAACTGATTAATTGCTTTTGAGTCGAGACTATGTGTATTATGTAGACATGAATGAGTTATGAATACGATAAAAACAGTTCGTGTCTTTAGCTTATCGGAACGAGGATACTGTACTTTTACGAAGCCTTTTTTAATGAATGTCCTGGTGACAGAAAAACTGATTTTTGAATATCGATTTGAAACTTTGCATAGAAGCAAACCTTGACAAGAGTAGTTTCAGATCTTTGGATTTCCTTCTATCTTGAAACAAGAACATTAAATCTGCTAGTTGAAATGAGCGATGTAAAAGATACGCTATTACGTTTGTTGTATCTAAAAGTAAGAATAACGGCAACACCAGAAACATTCACAATAAACTATTCTCATTAAGGTCTGTCACTATGCAAATTTCAATTCGAAAATTAGTGTCTCTCCAAGGTATTCAAAGCTCATTTTGGATCTACATAATACACATAACCTCGACTTAAAATCAGTTGATGGCGTAAAGGGCTTTCTTCGTTAGGTTTTTCTTTTTACATTTTCGTAGACCATACTGCGAAAGCATCGATAATAATTAATAGAAACTGAAAACTTCGTAATTCATTGAATAAATGATTATACAAAGGATAAATCATGAAAAATGTAAACACTTCAAAAGTAGGATTGTTGTAAATGAAAAGATTAGTTCTCTTTGAAGCAGTGATATTTATACATAAAATAAAAAGGACATGCGAGTCGTGGCAGATGTCGCAAGCACATTGACACTGTTAGAAAATGATGTCGCATTTTTCGCTAGTACATGTATTACTAAATGCAAAACTAGAACCAAACATGTTTTTTTATTTGACCACGACTGAGGCCAAAAACGAATGGTCGTGGTCATGCCTAATCTCAGCTAATTTTATCTCCTTGACAATAAATTATGATTTAATTTCTCATTTTTCATAGTCATTATGATAAAATAAGTAAACACATCTATATACACTGTATTTTTCATTTTATTCATATTTATTTATTCATATATATTCAATAAGATAGGCTTGAAAAAAATAAAACATACTAAAAATATTTTGATGTAATTACAAAATCAATCAAAAGAAATATACGAATTGTATTTAACTAATGAAAGAACTTTTTCAAATGACCAATTGCGTGTGAATTCGAACTTTGTGTATAAAGTAAACTTCAGTGAAATATGACAAACTTCAAAAGAATAAGTCTCCTTAGACCTTTTATTTAAAGTTATAGACATTTTACTAATTAGAAGTTTTGCTTCCAGTATAGTAAATGCAACGCCAGCAGCTGAAATTCTATTCAAATGCCTACAACTCTCTACAGAAAATCCAAAAGAAATTATATTTTTATTCGTGAATAAGTTTCTAATTCATTTAAATTTTATTAATATAAATTCTATATAAAGACATAATCTTACTCCATTTTCATAGCTTGTTTTAAGTAATTTGATTGCATCAGGTTGATAAATTTGTCGTTCACTCCATATTTGAATAATTCTTTTAACAGTTTTATGAATATTTTCATCATCAACTTGACTAACAATATGTTGTACAGCTGAAGCAAGCATTGGAAGAAAATCTTTTACGAATTCACCACCTTTACGTTTATCATGTTGAATAACATCATTAGCAACATAAAGAAATGCTTCAAAAAAACAAAATTTATTAAAAAGAAGAACAAAAATTTCCATTTTACCAATTTTTCTATCTGGTGTTGCACTAACTAATTCTTTTGCCCAAATATGAACAATTGTTTGTGATTGACGACGATGATGCATAAGAAATAATGATAATGTTTCCACACTTTGTTGTGATGTTGATAATTCACCAAAACGTTTAACAAGTTGAGATTCACTTACCATTTTTCTTATTAATTATAATAGATCAGAAATTCAATCAATCATTCATTCATTCATTCATTCAAATGATTATCTATTGGTTTTAAATTTTAACTAATAAAAAATCTTCTCATTTAAACGAAT